AAGCGGCGGAGGCGGCGGCGGCGCCGCAGGAGGGAACGGGCGAGGCAGCGGCCGGCGGCACCGGCGGCCGACGGGCCCCGGGGCGAGGGGGAGGAGGCGGACAGCGAGCGGGGCGTCCCGGCGGAGGGAGCCGCCTGGGAGCCCTACGGGGGCAAGTCTCTGGAGGAGATCTGGAAAGCGGCCACCCCCCGCCTCACCACCTTCCCCACCATCCGGGTGCGGGGCAGCGTCTGGAGCCGGCGGAGCCTGGAGGCGGCGCGGCGGCGGGCGCAGCGGATCCTCGGCGTGGACCTGTCTCCCGTGGTGCGGGTGCGCCGCTTCCCCCTGGCGCCGTCCTGAGGCCGCGGACGGGGTTTTGGAGTGGGGAAGGGCGGGGGGGGATGTCCTGGCCGGCGCCTCACCTTGGCCGCGGTGCGGACAAAGAGACCGATATCAGTCACCTGTTTACATTGCTTTTTGTCTGGATCGTGTTCCGCTGCTGCACTTTATGGCTCCCCCCGGCGGGGGCGGACAAAGAGACCGATATCAGTCACCTGTTTACATTGCTTTTTGTCTGGATCGTGTTCCGCTGCTGCACTTTATGGCTCGCTCGGGCGGGGACCGGGAGCGGGACCCCCAGCCGCACCGGGAGCGACCTGCCGGGGGGCCCCGCTTCGCCCCCGGCTGGGCCGTGGCCCCTGGTCCCGTCCCGGGGACCGCCTGGCAGGTATCACGCGTGGGGACCAAGTTCCACTCTTTTCCTCTCCCATCGGGCTACCTCACTGGTCCAGAAGTCCACCCAAGAAGTTATTTTCCAAAGGAACTTACTTTCATGCTTGTATAATAAAGCACCGTCTGATTCTTGCTATTTTAAATTTTTTTTTATTATTATTTTTTCTCTTCTCCCCTTTTCCGATGGACTATGTATGCTTTGTGGTGTTGCACTAGTATGTGCTCAGGGTATTTTGAATCCCAAGCATTCCCAAGTTTCAGTTTACTCTGATCAAGGATGCATAAAGAATGGAGGTTCAGGACTTGTGGCTGTTATTGATGGTGCAAAAACTTTTTTTTTTTTTAAATTTCATGAGCTTAGTGATATATAGAGATGTATCGCGCAGTATAATTGTTACACTTTTGTATCTAAAGTCATTTTTAAAGTTTTCTAGTTGAACTAAGTATTGGTTTCTATTGAGCACCTAAAGATAGAATCATCCTGATATTTTATAACCCTGTTTACTTTAGGGAAGCTCATTTGGTCAACCTAAGTGAACTTAATAAAAGTCAAAGAACAAGTGACGTTTCAGTTCAATGAAACTGCACAGGGATGGGTTCCTTGGTGACGTGTACTATCTGGGCACTTAATGTCAATAAGCTTGGAGTTTGTGAAGAATATAACTACTCATCAAAATAATATATAGGTGTCTGAAGGTGAACTATGATACAGTGTTGGTGCTGACAGCCAGAAGCTGATAGCTCGCCTGAACCAAATATCACACTGAAGTGCCTCTGCGAAAAGAGCAAGACTTGATACCTGATCCCATCGTAACAAAATAGCAGTGCTTGTTATCCTGGGGTTGTGAGATGATTAATGATGGATAATCATATTTAACATAATTACTTGCACATAATTACTTTTATAAACTTCTCCTGAGCTTCACAGTAGACTCTGATGCAAAATTCATGATGTAGTCTGATTATTTTGACTGCAAAATACCATGTTGTCATTCTATGCGATAGGCAGTCTCTCTTTAAACTGATTTATTAAGGGCTTTCTTTATAGATCTTATGCCTTGCGGTTGGTGCATGAAGAGCAAAGGGGTGTGTGTGTGAGAAAATGTGATTGATTTATTTATTTTTTTAATGCTTGGGCGAGGAATAAGAAATGCTCAGTAATAGTTTATGTCCCTAGTATACTGGCAAATGAGACTAACTTACCAATTTCCACACTGGAATGAATAACTTCACAACTTGTTTATAGAATGGTGTGGTGATTCTTAAAATTTCTTTTCTGATGGCTGTTGACTCCTTCTGCCTGCTGTCGACAGAGGCAGTAAGATGGCTTGATGCATAGAGGCTGCTTGTAAAAACTTGCTAGTGCTAACTTAAAGCAGCCGGCTTCTTCTAAAAGCTGTTTATAGTCTGTAGTTCTTACTTAGTGAAGTTGCAAGGTTCCTATTCCTCCGAACTAACAGTCTATTCTATATCCATCAAGCTTTTGAAATTGTTTACATAATGTTGGACTGGCTGCTGATCGCTGCAGTAGTGCCACGTCACATTTCAGAGGAGAATTAGGAAATGAAAGTTCAAGGGTACATATTGTTGTGCTGTTTTTCTGGCCATAATACCTGCTTAAATGTAAAAACAAAAATGTGTTGATTTAAAATGCAGTCAGACAAACTGCAGCGTGACCAAGTGCTGAGGCTTCACATATTTCCGTTTTGGCATTCCACTTTAGAGATGCAAGTTAAAAGTATCATTACTAGTTCTTGAAGTGTCTAGTTCACTTCAGTGTGCTGACTGTTAGGTGTTTTTTTTTTTGGTCTTCTTTTGAAAGATCTGCATAAAAAGATGGTGAACTGTAAGCAGTTGTCTTGTGCGAATTCTTCACTTAACTCATAAACAGGTGTAGGACAGGCTTCATCAAATTTCAAGGGCAGAGTTAAGGCTGCCAGAGGTACGACAGGGGAGACACTGTATTAAATTTGTGCTGTCTTGTTTGGAGGCTTATCCTGAAACATTCTGTGTGGGCACAAAATACAGCAAAGTGACTTTTACTCAGTTGAGTGACTCCTGTTGTGTGGGCTGTATGCGTAAAGCTTGCTTATTTTTCTCTTGCTTGGGCTTTGGCTTCTTGGTTTTGAAGTGGCAGCTTTATTGGGGGTATAGTATGCTTTGCTGATAACCTGTTAGCAGGTTGGATTGAAGTTTCACTGTAGCCTAAACTCCTCTGGCAGCTGCATTTACAGATTCTTAACTGAGCTATTTCAGTCTGCGAAGTCAGTTAAGGGGGAGAGATCTTTAGTCTGGTTTTCTGGCAAATTAATGTGCTGAAATAGCTCAGCAAAGGATCTGACTACAGGATGGGGTGTGAAAGCTAACAGCTTACAGGGAAGCTAAGAGAGCTAATTTCATGATTGTGTTCATGGCAGTTTGTGGCAATCCAGGCCAGGATTATCTGTGCTTGAGTTTTCCCTGTCCCTTCTCCCTCTCAAAGCTGTACCTCCTACCTATCGCTCTGTCTTTGTGTTCATCTGAGGAAGCTTAGCAATCAGAAGACTATTAAATTTTAGGTTTGGGCAGGTTGATGCTGTTGGCTTTTGTTCGACCTTCTAGCTGTAGACCAGAGCTGAGGACGTTTGGAAAGGGGTGTGCAAAACTGCTGCAATATTGAGTTAGATAATTTTAAGCATGGAAGCCTTAGGCTTTATTTTTTTGTAAAGGGCTAATAGTATTATTGTAGCTGCCTATATATATGCTGTTGGAGAAAGTGTGATGGATTAGATGGACTTCTGGTCTGACACCATGTGGCTGTTCCTGCACACACACAGAGTGGTGTGAGAGGCGTGATTTTCCTGATTTAACTCAGTGGTTTCAGCATCCTGTCATATGGATCTGCTTTTGAGGCTGACAAAATGTACACCGGATTTATTCTGGGTCTGCAATGCCCCATCTAGTTCAGTCAGCATGGATGGCTTCATACTGAACAGGTATTTCGTGGTAGCCTCTGTTGCCAGACCTCTCTCACGGTAGCTGGTTCCCTCCCTTATGAGCTCCCTTCATGCAATGACTTTGCGTACGGGAAGTTGTGCTATTTCCTTTACCAAATCTGAATTTTCATCCAGTCACTCAAACGTTATTGAACTTCAGAATGCCACAAAAGAGTTGCATGATGACCCCAGATGTCCAGGAGAGAGTTGAGACACCCATGATGTCTAACATGTTGCTTGGTGTAGGGTTTACATTCAAGAGGCAGTGCCTTCCTCTGAGTCATTGTACAAACACATTGAACGGGGCTGAAGCCCATAAAAGGAGAAAGCAGTGCCTTGCAAAAATTTTCTTGTACTCCTATGTTCCACAGAAGTTTTCACATCAAAAGGATCAAAGTGTAGAATTGGTTCTTGAAACCATCCATCGCTAGCCAGTAGACAACAAACTCTGTATATGCCCAAACCTCATGCAGAGCATCGTTGTATGTATTTGCTGAAGGCAAGACTTGTGGTACTTGGACTTTTGTCTGAATGGGTAGGGGATGTTGTGTGTATCTTTATTTCCTTGCCTATCAGAAGCAAAGGGCGGAGTGAATCCAGTTTGTAGTTTGCAACTTTGATCCCAAATCATTTTTCACTTACTGCTTCTTCAGCAAGGCAGAGTCCTGGGCTCTTCATGCTATTTGAAACAGTTGACTTCTGCTAAGTTATGATGGATAGTTTCTTCAACGTTACAGCCTAAATATCTTTACAGAATTACAACAACAAAAAAAATCTAGTTCTCTTGTTGCTGCCATTTTCTTATGTAAAAAGAACAGAAAATATTTTCCAGGGTTGATATCAAGAATAAAGAGTCTTGTTTATCCATTTAATTACTGCAGAACTTCTCAGGAAACTGCTGTAGGGCTTGACATTATAGGATATGGAAGAAGGGGACCTTCATTCCTGGGGTTCATTTTTTCTTGAAGAGGTGTGCAAGATGCCCAGCCAAACAGAAGAGGATGTGGTTCCCTGTACTCTCCATTGACCTTTAGGAAGGTTCCAGTTCTCCTTCAAACCCATTATTTGAGATTATAGAATATGAGACTTGATAGTGTAGAAGCTAAAACACTGCCAACAGGAAAGCCTTGTCCATTGAGTTACTCTGATCATGCTGGGTTTTTCACCCACTGCTACTTCAGGAATGCGAACAATCTGTACCCACCCTCTTTTCCTAGGCTGGTTTTGAGGAGACAGAGTGAATGGTCTAGAGTAGGTGGGAGGTGAAGTACTTTCTCTGAAAGAAAGCTTTTCATTTTCTTGCGTGTCTTGTGTGTAGCTGGCTGCTTCTTTCCACCTCCTCAGAGGGTCTTCGCTCTATCTCTGCCTTCAGCCATCTCTCATTGCCTGTTATTTTGCTTCTGCAACCGAGCAGCCTGTTTAGCAGCTGTTGTTGCCCATGCCAAATCAACTTGCTGTATGATGATCTGTGAAGATGGAGAGGACGTGTTCACAAGTACATGTACTTGTCATAAGCGTTATCCTAACCCCACGCTTGGGCAGCAGTGGACCTTACTCAGAATACCAGATGCTGTTTCTAAATGGGTAGCGTTTCCTGGATGAGAGGTAAGAAACCAAACTGAAAGAACCTGGTGTGATGATTCCTTGTGATGGAGCCTGCGTGATTCAAGATGCCTTTTCAAAGACTTTTTGAAATTTATTTCTATCTCCCCACAAATCCATACACTTGAATTCTAAAACGAAGGTGTTATGTTATTGTAGGCTTTTTCTTTTCCAGTTGAGCAGTTGCAATAACAACCGCCCACTTTGTACATCCCAG